GGAGATAATGATTCCTCTTAAAAATATTCACTTTAAGGCATATAAAAGGGTGGTAGAATTAAGTGACTTCTCATGTGTCCCATAGGATGTGTCTTAGAAATGCAAATTATTCTAGTCCGTCTCAGTGTGAGACAGCTGAAACTATTCCTTGCACGGCCATTTCATCTACTGGGACCTCATGGCAAGGAGTTTCCCAGGCATATCTGCTCTATGCACACTTCTTGTTCACAGAACAAACTACTTTCAGGTGGTTCAAAGGCTGATGACAAGCTCATCAGGGCAGCATCAACCGCAGCAGCGCCAAAGGTGCCCAGGAAGGTTGCTGACTACTCCAGTGGCTAATCCAGACTCACTGCTGTGTTGCTGCAGAACGTTCTTCCATGACAAAGCTAATGAAGGCTCATGGATCCGGATGATGGGGAGATAGGGACTGTGCGATGCAGCTCTTCCTTAGCCTTCACGTGTAATTAAACTGGTTTGGGTATATCTTGTGTGTTTACACCATAGGTGTCAACTACAGTCTCTATTCCCTAAATCCTTTGTCACACTGAAGTGAACGCTATTCCCAAAAGTAAAGGAAAAGGAAAATAATAACCAAACTTCATTCCAGTTAGCAAAGAGGATGCTAGAGCTTGATTCTGTTTCCGCTGAGGTTGATGAAAATCTCAGTATAGTCACATAATCTGCCTTTACTAGGTGTGGATTCCGTTTAAGCACCTAACCATCTTGCAGATTAAAAATATTCCCAAACCTAAAAAATGAGTGCTACTTATTCACTCCCTATTTTACCTTTTAAAAAATATTTGCAGAATGTTGCAAAGCAACTAGAGGCCCGCCTTCAGAATAAAAATTTGAAGGGAATGCTCCTGGGAGGAGTTACTGCAGTTTCGGTTAGATGAAGCCGTTTGACTGCAGTTCAAATATCACTGATCTATCAGCAGTAAATTTAGAGGTGTATTAATAAGGAAGAGACACAATTATTCAGATACAGTAATTTTCAGGAAATAGTGGTGTTTGGTAGCATTGTTAGTCATCATTAATATTTACAGGAGAAATGCAGATTTCAAAAAGGAAAGAAGGAAAAGCTTTAAACCAACTTCCTGGAAATTATATAAATATGCTAATTCCTGATGTTGAGATCAGTAAATACAATCTTTGTATTATAATTACTTGTATAACAATGGTTCGTAAGTGCCATCTGAGATTGGGATTGTGTTGTATACGAGGCTGCACATTACCATTTAGTGGGAGACGTGCATTAAGAAGGCAAGTTTTAAAGAGTTGAGGTCTGGGACTGTGATGGGAATTAAAGGACTCGCAAAGTCATGTGGAGACTGGAAGAGAGCCAGTCTTTGAATCCAGACTAACTGAATCCTTGCATAAATTCTTAACAAGGCTCTCTTCCTCTTTTAATTACTTTAGCACGCACACTCAAAAAACTACAAGCGTATTTATACAGCATGGGAAGAAAGTCTTGCCAGTTTTATGAATCATGCTATGTGCTCTTTGACTAGCTGAAGTAATAGCACTGAGCCTCCTCTGCCACAGCATAAAATGCAGTGTAAAGGAGGATCAATGCAACTGAAATCTGCACCACTTTTCCACGTTTCCTACTTGGATCTCATTGTCTCCTCCTTTTAAATGCAGGAAAATTGCTCAAGCCCTGATGGTCCAGCTTATTGTTCAGTAAAATGTATCATAAAACAGTCTTTGTAGTGTGGCAAGAAACAAAAAGAAGAAAACTAAGAGGAAGACTAAGACTTCCATTAATAACTAAAATAACTGCAAAAGGAAAGAAAAAAACCCAAAAGCTCCTGTACAGGATTCAGTGTGATTCCACTTTAAAGCTTTTGAAAGTGGCTTATGGCCAGAGGGAAATGAGTTAGTTTAACATATGACTTACCCCTTCTTCTTTAAATGGCATGTAGCTTCAAATTAGCCTTGAGCTCAGCTACGTTCCAGGGTTGTTTGTCCTTACCCCAAAGTAGTTATCCCGCATCTCCAGCTCACTTGATTTAGAGAAGGTACGTAATAGAGATGGCATCAAGTGAAAAAGTCAGATGTAAGAGCTGGCTCATTTACAAAATCCTTTTGGTTATGCTTGTAGTGTAGCAGCTGCATAGATACCAATATTAATTAACACATTTAGTAATAAGGTAACAGACAGAATATGCCGAGGCTGATAAAATACCTGTAGGCATGTGCTGATGTGTGTCCAGAAGAAGCCTGTGCTTTCTTCGTTCTGATTGCAGGTGCAGTCTGCTGCCTTTTCACGGCAGTCTAGTAAAATATGCTATTTTTGTGTTTCATTTTATGCACAGCTTATGTTCATACCAGGCATCTGGGAGGAAGTTGATAAAAAGTCTGCTGACTTTGGACAATAATAGCTAGTTGATCTTGCCACTAAGAAAGACCACAAACTCTTGGGAGCAGGACTGTCTGCTCCTGCTTGTTCACTCTGCTCCGGGACCAAGCTTCCCCAGCCCTACCGGGGTAGCTACTGTATCAAAATTAATTCCTAGAAGGGAGAAAATCAGAGCATTTTCCTCATTCTAATGCAGCTATTCACTCTCCCTTAATCAGGGCCAGTGGGAAAGCCAAAGTCAGCTCTGCAGTTGCAGTCGCTTGGAGGCAGGGACAGTGTCTGACCAATGTTTGCATCATATCTATTTCAGTGAAGCGTTCTTGGTGTTACTGTGAAACATTAGCTGGATCATACTAGTACTTAAGAGAGAAGTGTCACGTTGAAAATTCATTGACACAAATGCCGATGCCATCAGGAGGAGCTGCAGAGCACCGACTGAAGTGTCTGCGGTAACTACACTGATTTGGGTTATGTGCATTCTTATCCAGATGGGCTGTCAATTGATCTAGTTCAAAATTACCGTGTTACCTAAGTTGTAATTAAGGAGCGTTTATTGAATTGAAGTGAGGTATGTTTGACAGATACAAAACAAGCCTGAAGACAGACATAGTCTAAAGCAAACAAAATTTAAATGGCACTATCAGCCAAATTACCTCTATGGGCAGAAAGAAGCAGGAGTAAAATACCCAACTATATCACAGTCATCTTAGAGATTATAACATTATGAGTGTATTGGATGGATACCTGTGGTTTCTGAAGTGGAGTGTTGATAATGATAGACGTAATCTTTGAAGAAAAAAGAGAGAGGATGATGAGGTGTGGAGACCTGTTCCGGAAGCTTGGAATTAAGCTGAGGAACATTAGGATCTATCTATATGCACGTAGTCCGTTCCTCTTCCCTTTACTGGGGCGGGAGAGTATGACCCAACTAAAGAAGAAATCCCGTTTGATCGTGCGCACCCCACCCCCTCCTTGCTGCTGTATGCCAACTTTGCTGAAATCTCTGCTCAGCTGAGATTCGAACGTTTAACCTCTCTGAAGGTCAGGCTGAAGGGCTTACTTGTAATAGTAGGTGACTGGATTTGATGACTCTTCCAGTCTCATAGCCATGATGATCACCTTTTTTTTCCCGTTCCAAATTTGCTTTATTGAGATCCAGGTCAAACCACGCCACAGTTCAGAGCATAGCTGTCGTATTGAGGGTTTTTTGTTTGACCTTGTAGTTTGCACAGGCTGAAGTTTATATAAAAAGAGCCAGATGAAAGCGAATTAGGTGGGTTCAGCTGAACAGAGAGTTAAACAAAGACATTCTTGGTCGTATTCCGCACCGGGAGGCTGAGGCCTGATGTGGATATCGTCACTGGGCTTTTTGCAAGTCTATCTCAAATAATTGATGCTGAGAGCTTATACATTGCGGGCTAGATCTCGGAAGCAGTGATTACTTTGTTTCTGTGATTGCTCTGTATTCATCTCTTCAGATTGGAGTTTTGACATTTTAGTTCTCCTCCAAATGAACCTAAAGATGGCATTATACTTGTACTACGATAGTATTTGGCAGGCCATTGCTTTCTACTTGAGAAGGCAACGGACGCTTTCAGATCTTAATTCCTCTGTTTGCTAGATGACCCCACACATTTTCTTGCCTGCGTTCTTTCTTGCGTTTCATTTACATGAAAGAAATAAAAACTAACCAAATATAAAAAAAAGTCATAGACACAACATCTGACTGGTGTTTTTATTGATTCTCCTTTATCTTTGTGATTCTCCTTTAAAAAAAATATCCTATACTGTAATCTCACACCCTGGTACAAATTGGAAAAAGCTTATGTTGGCTTTCATAACTCTGAACACACATCAGCAGAGCTGGTTTGAGGATTTGACTTTCCCTGTATTTTGAAACTTTATTCAGGAGATTTAAAGGAGAAGTAAATGCTTCTGTATTGGTAGTTAATGCTTTCTTTCCGTTATTGTGGCAGCAATTATGTAACCAAAATTATGTTTCGGCATCCTTGACGCTGCCTTCACTGATTTTTGTGGTGGTTCATGTTGCGTATTCAGATTTCTTCTACTCCTCTTTTTTGTTTGGGTTTTGTATTAATACTGAGCAGGCACGTTGGAGGCATAGTCCTCTTAGCTTTCCTTACAGAGATAGTCCCTGTGCACTTCTGACTCAGCAGGATGAGTAAGGTTATCCTCAATATGGCTATTAATGAACGTACGGTCATAAGGTAGTGCATGTTCTGCACTAACCTTAGGCTTCACGTTAACAACAGGAGTAGGCAGAAGTAAAGATCCAGGCTACAGATCCCTTCCTGGTCTCTGTGAGAAGGCAAAATATGAGCACAATCCATATTCTCAGAGGATACTGGTAGCAGAATTTGAAATATCCGCTTTTCTCTTTTTTGTTTATATTTTCTTCTGAACTGTGTTTTCTTTAAAAATTGCATAGTATCGTTGGTCTTCGAGTCAGCATAGTCATCAAGAGACTGGTAACCTAATATACAATAACTTGCATTTATTTAAATATGTGCAGTTACTATGTCTGGCATCAGTGGGTACCCAGCATGATGTGATGTGCTTGCTTCCTTGTTTGCAAACGTACAGAGGTAATGCCTTTTCTTCCCAACGTTGACAGGGCGACACCATTGCCTCCTGTGACTCCTCTGGGGTGGTGAAACTGTGGGACATTCGGAAGTTGGTTCCCATGGCATCCATAGATGCAGGCCCACGTGCTGCCAACGAGGTCGTCTTTGATCCCTCTGGTAGGATTCTTTAACAGCTTTTTCTACTTAAAACGTATTGTATTTTGAGATCTTTCTAAAGTAATTCTGAAACTAGATGGCTTGTGTGAAACCACACAGGTTTGTTATTTTAAAGAAGCTACAACTGTGCCAACTAATGGTCAGTATGTTTTTTTCCTATGGACTACATGGGCAAACTGGACTAACGGTCCATTTATATAAAATGAAAAATGTGCTATCACAAAACGTGCAACTGATTGCAAAGAAGTTGCATGAGATACAGAAACGATGACTGGGGGTAGAAAACTGAGAGAGATTACCTGTGTTCTACTGATGTTTATTCTCCGCTCCTATTTGCTCTTTTATTGCTTATTCCATGGTTTCATTTCATAACCAATCTTACTAAGTCCTCCTATAATTACCCCAGAACTTCACTGTGTTGAAAAGATTGCCTTCTATGCACAAATAATTGAGGTAACCAGTTATTTTTCACCATCAACCCTGTATTCTTATGTCAGCGATACTGTGAGTGAAGGTACGTTTCTATTTTAAGTGGGGCTGTTGTAAAACAGTATAACATTTTTTTTAAGCAATATTAAATCTTCTATTCCAAAGTGTGGACAAGCATTCACATTACAGCACAGAATTAGATCCCAGCTCAGTGAATCATTCTTATACAAGGTAGTATAATATGATACGATACAATATAATAATATGTAATATATGTAATAAATACGTATAATTTTATTGAGGCATATTTATGCGAATGCATTATATATTATGCATACATATTATAGGCATAAAATATAATGCATCAGTAAAATATGAGAGAGAATGAAAGAGTCATTTTACCAATAATAATAGTATGATATTTTGTCATAATGGCCCACACACTGTGGAATGCATAATATCAATCTGTTGAGTCGCGTGGCAGAAAACTTGGCTATCAATTCTGTAGTATTTGCATAGGGATTTCCCAGAGCTCTCTATTGTATCATTAAATAAGGTATTTTCATTTCCAAGGGAAAAAAAAATACATTGACGCTGTCCATTTTTGACAGCTACCCAAAGACAAATTTAAATGCTATTCTGTATACGTATGTGATTTGGAACAAGAGCTCATTTTTTCACGAGCAGGATTTGAAGAAGTTTTGCATTTTTGCATCTGGAATATAATGGTGGGTCATTTGCAAAGGAATCACATCCCTGCAAAATGCAGTAGCAATATTTTTAGCCAGATGGGAACTTTCCAGTAGAAGGGTTATCAGCTTTAGGTAATCTAAATGGGCAAAATTTCCCATCATTTGGATAAAATCCAAAACTTTCTCTGCAGGAGTAACCACACAACAGAGATATCAAATTGGGATGAATGACCACAAAGAGGCATAGTATAGCGGGATGCAATCATGTCTAGCTAAAGATATGAAAATAGCTAGCTAAAAGAGACTATTACAACTCGTACTGTTTGAACAGCGACAGCGCCTACATGACCTAATTACGGATACTGGCCGAGTCATACCAGGCACTGCAGAGATACCAGCACACTAATAGCTATTTGTTACCGGAAAACATTTAATTTGCTTCGTCTAGTGCAGTGGCTGGAAGGAATGCATTTTCTACATTGCCTTTGGGTGAAATGGTATTTCTTCTGTAGCTGCCCTAGCTTGGGTGCAACTGTTTGGGTTACTGTTAGCAATGCAGTGTAGGACTCGCCTTGAGGTGAGTCTCTCTGGGGCCCTGGCTGCTTGGGTGTTTAATTCATGTTGCCTCCCTGTTGTCACAGCTCTTTTTTGCTAATTCCCCCATGAGCTAAACCTGAGTAATCCTAAAATGGCCTGTGATACATCAGTGAGAAAGGCCGAATGATGTGGGTTGTCTGCCACGGCAGAGGGCTAGCAAGGATGATCTGGGAGGTTCCTGCATCGTCTGAACTGCAGTTAGGAAAAAAACAAAAAACACTTATTCATCAATATGTAGGTTGGGTCAATCTAAAACTATTCAGTCAGTCATCTGAATGGAGTTAGCTAAAAATAATAATCATGTTAAAATAAGGCAAACAGCCCAAAAGCCCACCCACAACAAAATAAATGGTGATGAGAAAATATATCCAATGTTTAACTAACAGGCTGATGGGCATGGGACCTTGGACCTGTGTCTGAGGAAGCTTGGATAGATTTTCCTGACCTTATCGAAGTGTGGCTTAATTACAGACTGTATCTGTCAGTCTCTTCTGGTGATGTTATAGCACCTGATGTAAAATACTTGAATACACTAATAGTCATGCGCACAGGAAACACTACACCGCTATAGGTGGACTTAATTACTAGATTAGAGAGCCATGCTTGAGCAGTTTTTTTACTGCCCAGTAATGATTTAAATTATAGTTAATAATGATAGAAGGATTTTATGAAAAGATGGGCAGGATCAGCAAACAAGATTGAGGTCAGAGATAATAAGGCCCCAACTAATGGAAGATTTTTGTTTGGTTTTCCTCTGTATTGTTTTCTAAGTAATTATCCTTGCAAATGTAATGTAGACAGAAACATCTTTCATTTTGTTTGAAAGTGGTAATATCTTTTGTCAGGGTGACATACACTGGCTGGGAGTTGCCTAGCAAAGAGACAGTACCAAGAACGAGCTTGTAAAGTTGCTGGGAATCATCGGATGGCCTCATTGTGGATGGCCCTTGCTGACTCTGGTGATCTTCAAGCTACTCTTGGCAAAAATGTTGGACCACATAGTCATTTTCTTCTCTGTCAGAGCTACCCTGAGCTCTTAAAGAAGTTGATGAAAAATGTTGGGCATAAAGCTTTCTGCTTCAGCTACTCTGGTTTCTTTCGCCTTTGCCTTTCTTTCAGTCAGCTTAGCGATGGACAGTGCTACGTGGTGTACTTGTGAATGCAAAGAAATTAACGGCAGGATTGCTAAAGCATTACGCTCTGTGTGGGTTTCCTTCTTTCCCTCAGTCTTTCTGCAGCTGGCTCGTGGTCATTGGGTGGGAGGTGGTGATGGAGCCGGCCGGGACTCAGCCCGCTGTGGGCCCTGGTCAGTATTGTGCCTAATGCCACAAGTACAAAGGAGCATGTTCTTTCAATTGTAGGTGCTGTGAATGGTCTCAAAGAAGGGACCAATGTGCAAGGCAGGGGCCACAATGTTTGTAAATTATTTTTTTTAAGTATATTCAATTTTATCTCCTCATAGGCAAATTTAACCGAGCTTTCCCTGTACTTAAATTCTTGTGTAGCATTCGCAAATCTCTTACCACACTTTTATTTGTCTTCACCTTCAGTGTTTCCAGTTGCTGTTTAGAAAAATGTACCTAACATGATTATTCACAACATAGCATTGGGTAATATATAAGACTCAGAGAAGCTGCCGAGGTTTCTGGTTTACAGGCTAAGACATTTATTATTATCGTGATGTATTAGAAGCCCCAGTAGCCCAATTAGAAACCCCAACTTCCCACAATACAGCAATAGCAGTCCATAATTAATAGCAGTTACAAGAAGGTCAAGGGGAAGTAAACAATATTTGGAAAAATATAGGGCTGTTAGAAATTCTGAGATTTGCAGATAGGATGAGGTGGTGATGTTTAACCTGCTTCCGTCCAAGCTGGGCACAGTGCTACTCTCGATGGTAAAGACACGCGGAGGGTTTTGTGATTCCTACCAGGCTACAAACAACTGGCTTTATAATGTATCTGGACATCTCAAAGGGCAATATGTATCTATGTTATGTAGAGGAAGAATTGTTAAAAGATGTCGCCTTGTGATACAAGTGATTTATTTTAGGAGATAGGAATTCTGGAGGTGGGAGAAAGGGAAGCAGAAGAAACGTTGCATGAAAATTGACTATTTAATAACCAGTACCACTTTCAGCTGTGGTGAGGTCAGGGTAAGGACTTGGCAATGCTATCCAAAAGCAAGGTTAATTTGTTTAATTATACTATCACATGACACATTATACAGAACCGTTGCTATGAGCAAACCACTACTCCAGCGGGTCACAGAACTGCTTACTATTCAGGCTTGATTTATTTTTGATGTTAAACTCTGGGCTCGTGAATTTGTGTCTCTATATTATCTGTCCTTTCCTGAATACAGAATTAAACTTGATGAGATTTCCTGGAGTGCCACGGGTGAAGCGTCTTCAGTATTTGCACGAGACATTATTTGGGCTATACCTGCTAATGTTATAGCTACAAGCAGTCCCCACAGGCCTCCTGAGGGATGGAGGCGCGGAGATTAAATGGCAGATTGTTAGAATTTCTGCTGATAATTGAGCCTTCGGTTGAAGTCTCGGAATTACGATTTTCAGATTCCTTATCTGATAACAATTTATATGCTCAGAACAGAGCTGGCAGAGATAATCCTTGTGGAAGGAGGAAAAAAGTTCAGAAGTGTAAATTGTTTTAGTAAGTTCATATGGTGCCTAATTGAGTATATATTCTATTTCTTAAAAGAAACATAAATAATACCGACTTACTCTATGACAGTTTCATTTATTTAGAGGTTTGGTCCTGCAGTAAGCTGCTCACCCAATTCCTCTTTGATTTCCTCAATTTCAGTCAGATATTTGGCTGCACAGACAAGCTGATATTGAGGTGCACAGACAAGCTGATATTGAGGTATACGGTGTCTGTCTTTCTCCTTTTTTCTCTCTCTCCTTCCTGTTTTTGTTTAATTCGTGCATCTCAGGTGGCAATGAGTAGTTCAAGTTTAATCTTGACCAGCCAGGGGATTTTCTGGCCTGGAGCAAGCTCTCCTTTTCTGGGAAGCAGCACAGTGGGTTTGGGCATTAGGTGCCGGGTGCGATGAGGGAGGTGGGAATCCATCTGCTCCTTGCACATCTCAGAAAGGGACTGTGGCCCCCTGAGATGAATTCCTGTATCCAGAGAACAGAGGCAGGATGGCATCTTGACCATTTATCTCACTTTTTTGCTGTTCTTGAACTTTGCTTTTTTTCTTATGTTTGTCGCCCTCTTGCTTACAGCTGAAGTCAGGCTTCACGGGACAAAAATT